TGTGAGTGTGTATGTGTGTGTGCGAGTGTATGCGTGTGTCTGTGTGTTTGTGTGAGTGTGTATGTGTGTGTGCGAGTGTATGCGTGTGTCTGTGTGTTTGTGTGAGTGTGTATGTGTGTGTGCGAGTGTATGCGTGTGTCTGTGTGTATGTGTGTGTGTGTGTATGTGGGCGTGCGAGTGTATGCGTGTCTGTGTGTACACGTACTCCCAACCAACGTGCATCATGCCAGGTCTTTGACCGAGTATCAACGTGCTAAATGTAGGTCACTTGATATACAAATATGCAAATATATGCAAATATATGCAAATGATATGACAGGCTTAGAGTACATGCTCACCATGCGCAATCTTCAGAAGTTCAACGGCTTTCTCGTGGTACTCCCCCTCCACAGACTGAAACAAGCAACAAATAAATAAATAAATAAATAAACAAATGTGAGTACTTTCGTTAGTTTTAGTAAGAGTTTAACGGCACTTGCAACACAATAAGGTCATATAAGTGCTGGAGATTAGAAGTGTTACAAGAGAGTAACAAACACAAAATAGAAGGAGGAGAGATAAGGGCGATAAATGGTTGATAGGAAAGAAGGAGAAAATCACACCAGAGCACCCGCCAGTACTTTCAGATGAAATGGTTTGATACAACCTAAGATGGATCTTTAGACGTACCAGATCTGAAGTACGTAGCTTTAGTAGTTTTGCTATGCGGTGTTGTGTACAAATTTGGCATTTTTGGGGGCTTATGATCTTTTTTCATGGCCAAATGAGCAAGAGCAAGCCCACATTGATCAAATATGCTTGTGAGGGTCTAGATCTATATATTGTGACATGTATAATAAAGACTGTTGAATACTTTCATGAATTTTTTTTTAAAATGCATGTGTGAGAAAGGCAGAGAGAAACGGTAGCGAGACATGCTCAGCTGATCAGAGTGAACAAAAGTGCAGAAAGAGACTTTATAAAAACCCGTGATTTCTTCGGGTGTCATGGCAGTAGAAACAAAATTACAGCACCCCTCTAGGCAGAATTGGCCGGGGAAATACTAAATTGACCTAACATAAACCTTGAAGCCGTTTTCCGAAACGAAATTAGGAGTATACGGAACAAAACTATAGAGCCGAGTTATATCGGTCGTGGGATTGAGCGTAGCCCGCGAGCTGACTGTACTATCTCAGTCACGGGATGGAGTGAGTTAAAAAATGGATGATAACAATGATGATGACGATGTTAAACATAAAAAATTATGATAACAAACAATGATGATGTTAATCATGAGAAAACGACGATAACAAAACAATAACGATAATGATGATAACAATGATAAAGATAACGAACTCCTCCGCTACGCCCCCACTCTCCGCCCCCACTCACCACTCCATTAACAGACAACAGCTGATCCCCACTCTCCACCCCCACTCACCACTCCATTAACAGACAACAGCTGATCCCCGCTCTCCACCCCCACTCACCACTCCATTAACAGACAACAGCTGATCCCCACGCTTGAGCCCCCCGTGTCTGTCTGCGACACCGCCGGGAATGATGCGGGAGATGTAGATGGGAGAGTTCTGCTCCTTGCCTCCCATCACGTTGAAGCCCAGCCCTTCCTCCGTCTTGGGCAGCTCCACGACACGGGGGTGGGCGTGGCCCTCGCTGGCCGCAAAAGCCGCAACTGTCGCCTGTGTGGAAGGGAAATAACTCAGATTGTCATTTTTGTAGGGAATTTTCTATGGCTGCTCCATAAACACAACTTAGATAATAATAATAATAACAATAATAATAATAATAAAATATTAATAATATAACCAACATTATTTCTAAAATCATCATTGCTCTCAGATCAATGACTTACATCTATAATCCTGGAATCTCTATCTGTAACAGTTACTTGTCATACTAAGTATGCACGTAATACACTATTGGACTCTGTCATACACACTTTTTTCTACTAATCAGATGGCGTCAATCTCATATAATCTAAATGAGCAAGGGATGAAAAAAAAAAAAGAACCTCTTGTTCCAAAGGATATAAAAAATGTTCCTCCATTCTGACTGTCTGGTTCCTTGTAATCCGACTACTGTACAGCACCACTAGCTAGCATCCTCCACAACATAATAAGCAAAAAATCTCAATTTTTCCCAAAATGTCACTTGGCCGGTTTTGCATCTCATCCCCTCATATATAATATTTGGACGTACCTTGGCGGTGGCATTTGCTCGAACTTCGGCACTGCCACTGACGTCGACTGTCTCGTAGACGTTCTCATACACCTCCCTCACTGCGTGGAGGAAGTCGCTCTGCAGGATTCTCTGTAAGGCTTGCAGCTTGGCCGTGGGGAACTCTCCGCCTGGGACAAGACGACAATAGAAAAACACAGTTTTACCACACTCACAATGACCACTTCAAGATACAGTAGAACATGACTATAGCGGCACATGCTGAAGCACAACCATCCCTACAGTCTTTGGATAGCAATGCCAATCGGGCTTTCCCGCGAGGCGAAAATTTGGTCCCCGTTTACAGGCGATTTTGCGGACCCGGCCGAAGCGTAGGTGACTAACTTTGTCAACCTCGGTCTGCTCTATTTCCGAACCAATCCGAATGAAACTCGGCAACCAATCAGAAAATAGGGCAAACTAATGATATGTGGACGTTGAAGTTCGTACACATAAATTAACCTATACTTTTGGTGTCGGGAACACTTTCGTATCGTGTACACCGAAAACTATAAGGAGTTTGAATTTCAACGCCGAGATGGTAATAGATCTATCTATCCTCTATAGTGTGCTAAAATTTGAACGTTCTGTGTCAAGTAGTTGTTTAGACCCGATCATAAATGCACGACTACCCCCCTATCCAAAGCGGCTTCGCACGGAGACCGGCCATTTTCCCCTCACTCTCGTGGCAAATGCATGTGACCTACAAATCCCCGCATGACTATTCCGGGCTCGTTCATTGGTCACTTGAAATAGGGCAATGGCGGGCGCGCACATCCGGTTGTTTTTCTCTCTATTCCCCTGTAACGTCGCTATGGGGGTATTCCGAGGCGAGGTTATCTCGTCTCGGGGTGTTCGCGTCTCAACGGGGAAAAAGAATTTTTAATTGTACGGCATGCTAGATTGAATTAACTTATCTTTTAAGGTTGGCATGGTCTAAAGTCATCATAAAAAGCTTTGCAATTATTTAGTCACGCTGCCGACATATATTCTTAAAGATCCCATGTTGTGATACGATGCTATAAATAAAATGGACTCATCCCGACACCCCTTTTTCGCAAAATCGTAATATGTACACCACAATTTTAATTATAACAAAATAACTACGAAATTGGTAGTAAATCTGACTGCAGAAATGATTTCTACACTCAAAAACACATCGGGTAGTTAAGTTGCTCTCGAACACTTCGATTAGTTACCGAGATATCGTCGATTTTCTTACAGAATCTGCTACTGCGTGGTCCACTTTTTAGGAGTATTTTCCTCTATGTGGGTCATCCATATTTTGCCGACCTTTACAACCCCATAACTTTTTTATTTATGAACCGATTCTCAAAATTCAAGAAGCATGATTATTAGAATTGAACATTCTTTCTTAGGTACCAAAAAAAGGGGACAAAAGTGAAAATTTAAATTTCCATTGGCATTGCTACTTTGGAACATCACAGCAACCGATGAAGCCTGCACTTATCACAATATAGCACTGGATAGAACGACAAGTGCCCAGCTGTTGCTGGATCAATAACAACAACATAGAACACTTAGCAACAAGGCGTTGAAAGTAATTTTAGTGACCAAAACAACACACACCCCCCCCCCCCCCCTCAAGTTTGAAATTTATTTATACACAGGCCAGTTCAACTTTTAAAAAAAAAAAATTTAATTCCCACGACAAAGGTTGAAACTTTCTACAATCAAAAGCGAACAATATGACACAAACTTACTTCTTTGGAGATCTTCCAGAAGCTCCACAGCTCTGTTGATGTCTGAAATTCAGGCAAAGGTGGAAAAATAAATGAACATTGTATTCCATCATTTCATTGTCAAAACATTGTATCTTTGCTACAGCACAGCATTCTATGCCACACAAATGAAGCAACATCAATGAGTTGGATTAATACAGTGAATTTAGACTGACAAACAGATCATGATAATAATTGAGCTTTGAAATAGAAACGAGACTCAAGGGACTTTATTACGTCTACTTTAGAAACACAGAAGGATGATAAAAAATCAAGTCATTGAATGACACTAGGCCTGATGAAACTTTTAACTTCCAAGACCTAGATTCTAACACCTGCAAAACCTTATTGTTTTATAAACAACTAAAAAAATAACTTGACATGCTATAATAATGAACGCAGGCACAACAAGAAAACAGTTGCCCAATTTGCAGTTGTATCATGTTACACATTAAGTTACTGACATCGAGTCAGTGCTGTCAGCGCCAACGGTGGATACGTACAAGAGACGTTTGGATGAATACTAGAAGGATCTCCAGACGATCTACAACCCCACTTGCCAAGACTGCTTTGTCAAGCCTGCACGTAGCAGTCAATACCAGATAGTCGAACAGGCTCTTCTAGTTCTAGAGCCTCAACCGACGCAACAGACTAGAGGGTTAAATGAGGTATTTCATGTTTTCAATCTTACAAAAATACAATTAGGCCTCATTGCAAAGTAGGCTAATATTTCGCATGTCAAAAATAATTAGGGGAGTTTTAGAGGGGAATCCCACCGTGTTTCACCATTATTTGACAGTTTGAGTTTGCTGTTAAGTTTCTTGAGATATTCTTGACGTTTGATTTGAAAACAATGGCAATGGATTTGCAACGAATTTAATGGCCACACATGTGTTGTTCTGTAGCCAAAAACACAGTGGTTTAACCCCCCCAAAAGCTGTGCATCTGCATGCGAGTGAGAAAGTAAAATGTTTACCTAAAATTTAATTGTCCAAACAGTAGTAGTAGTAGTAGACATGGAATCAAATTCAAATCAATGCAATGGTAAGAGTTTTTGCAATTGAGCTATTCCAGAGAAAGCATTATGGTTCCCGTATTGAAGCATTATGTGAGTGTCAGCTTTGAAACTTTGAAGGAATATCAGAATGCATCGTACTGTTTTAGAGAGTAGCAAGATCAGGGTCCGGATCACTCGGATGATCAGGAAGAAAAGGCTGGAAAAGAAGACTACTAAAGTCTAAAGACTAAGTCAAGTCCTAACTAAGTACTAAGTCACTAAGTTGGTCGTTGCCCTGGCCGTGGGGAGAGAATGTGATGTATGGGTTCTAACTTATTTTAAACGCACTCGTCAAACAATATATTGACATCCATATATCATTAGATTTTAAAACCTGACAAAACTTTAGTAAATTCGACTCAAAGTAAACAGTAAACAGTCTTCAAACCTTTCTCAAGCGTCAAGGGTTCTGAGACGGCAGCCATTTTGATTGCTTTCGTATACTTTTGTTTCTTACTTCCTACTTCCGGTAAAACAACTGTTTATGCAGGCTTCGGAAATTTTGAGCTTTTTACTTATCTGTGAGAAATAATTATTGTCAAAGAATATGAAATACAGTATGAGAAGAATTAAAACAATCCTATTTATTCATTTTCAGCATTTAGAACATTTTAACTGAAAAGGATAGACAACTTTAGAGGCATTGAATAACCAATTTTCTTCTCTGCCTGTTTTATTTGAGTTGCTTGCACAGTAATTTTGGACCGAGGTGTTGGTACAAGCCCGAGACACGATCATATTTCCCTTCTTTCTATCTGGAAAACTTACTGCCATGCATGTTCTATGTCTGCGCTACATTCAGCCTATGTTATAACTATTATGATTGTTAGAGTTGGAGTCATTTTTTCTTAAAATAAGGATTATCTTAAGCGATCCTGTATACAAGTTTTAAGAAAAATAATATCATTATTATTAATATGTGTCATAATGTGTATATGTGCGTGTGTGTGTGTATGAGAGAGAGTATGTATGTGTGTGTGTGCGTGTTTGTATGTGTGTGTCTGTGTGTATGAGTGTATGTATGTATGTATGTGTATGTGTGGTTGTGTGTGTATGTGTGTGTGTGTGTGTGTGTATGTGTGTGTGTGTGTGTGTTTAAATAGAAGGGTCAAAACCATAATAAAATTTTGTAATGTAAAAGGTATTTTTTTGAATGGTAAGAAACTACTGATAGCTTCCCTCTTGAAATACCCCAACGTATATTCTAAGACATGGCTAACACCATTCTACTTTGAGGACATAGATACGGAT